GACCCCTTTTCTTTTTTCGCTTTTTTTTTTGTCTGAACCATTGAAGCTTGAAGTGAGTAATTGTTGGGCCTCTTTTTGTTTAGCCCAAATGCCCAATTCTCATATAAAATTAACAAGTGGTTCAATTTATCAAACCATTTTCAAAGCCGTGAAAGGCAGCCAAGAATCCATATTCCCAATTCCCAAATCGTGAAAAAAACCCAAACCCTTGTCCTCACTTCTCCACTCTCCAATCCACACAACGTAGACAGGCAGATTCCATTTCCATTCTATAATTCCATTCTAAATCGAAGAAGAGGCAGCACAGACGATGTGTTTTACAGCTTTTGCTGTCAACTGTCAAGCCGAGTCCGAGTATCGTGATTGCCGTCTACCCTATCTAGCTTTCTACCTTCTAGTTTCGAGCCTGTTGACTCTTTCTCCCTCTCTCCTCATTTTTTTTTGTTTAATTTCGTTGGCTACTTGACTTGTTGATGTTGAGTAATGAATGTTAATTATGTTATGATTATTGTTTCGGGAATTTATGTTAATGAAATTATGTTTGCGAATTGTGATTTATGATACATAATTTACGTTTTATGAGTTATGATTATTGATTCGAGAATTTACGTTTACGAAATTATGTTTGCGAATTGTGATTTATTATAAGTAATTTATACTTTTTATGAGGAATGATTATTGATTTGGGAATTTATGTTTACGAAACTATGTATGTGAATTGTGATTTATGATAAGTAAATGGCGAATGATTATTAATTTGGGAATTTATGTACATGAAATTATGTTTACGAATTGTGATTTATGATCAGGGGCTATGCCAGCACCCAGCGAGGGTGCACGACCACGTGTGCTGGCTCCGTGAAATCTTTAGAATCGCTCGATAGCAATCATGTTGTTGTAGTTGCAATTGCAGAGTCGGCTGGAGATGGAATCATGGAAGACGAAGATTGAAGATAGAAAGAGACGACCCCCTTTTTTTGGGGCTGAACTGCTGAAGCTTGAAGTGAGTAATTGTTGAGCCTATTTCTATTTAGCCCAATTGCCTAATTCTCATACAAAAATAACAAATGATCCAATTTATCAAATCGTTTGCAAAGTCGTGAAAGGAAGCCAAGAATCCAAAATCCCATTTCCCAAATCATGAAAGAAAGCCAAACCCTTTTCCTTTCTTCTCCAATCTCCAATCCACATGGCGTAGACAAGCATACTCCATCTCCATTCTATAATTTCATTTGAAATCGAAGAAGAGGCAGCACAGACGACGTGTTTTGCAACTTTTGTTGTCGACTGCTGAGCTGAGTCTGAGTACCATGATTGTCGTCTGCCCTTTCTGGCTTTCTGCCTTCTAGTCCTGTGCCTGGTAACTCTTTATCCCTCTCTTTTTTGTTTTTGTTTAATTTTGTTGGCTACTTGACTTGTTAATGTTGAGTAATGAATGCTAATTATGTTATGATTATTGTTTCGAGAATTTATGCTTACGAAATTATGTTTGCGAATTGTGATTTATGATAAATAATTTACATTTTATGAGTTATGATTATTGTTTCGAGAATATATGTTTATGAATTATGTTTGCGAATTGTGATTTATGATAAGTAATTTACATTTTATGAGTTATGATTATTGTTTCGGGAATTTATATTTACGAAATTGTGTTTGCAAATTTTGATTATGATAAGTAATTTACATTTTATGAGTTATGATTATTGATTTTGGAATTTATGTTTACGAAAATATGTTTGCGAATTAATAATTATTGATTTGGGAATTTATGTTTACGAAATTATGTTTGCCAATTGTGATTTATAGTAAATAATTTATGTTTTAATGGAGAATGATTATTCATTTGGAATTTATGTTTGCGAAATTATATTTGCGAATTGTCAGTTATGATAAGTAATTTATATTTTATGAGTTCTAATTATTGATTTGGAAATTTACGTTTAGGAAATTAGGATATGTGAAAAAATTTAATTGAGAAGTTGTTGGCCACTAAATTCAACCTGTGTGTACTTGATTCTTTTTTAATCAATTTCGATTGAGAAATAAATCGTGGCATTTTTCAAATTATGGAATGATTTTTTCAATTGAAACGAAAGTCCATATCCAATTCTTCTAGTTCTAGTTGTGTATCTAGTCTTGCCACTGATTCTAGTCGAGCACAAAAGTTATTGCATAATACAAAGAAGTCTCAGCTCAATTCAATGCGGATGATCTTGTACTTGATCCAGGAATACTGCCCTATCGAGTCATATGATTCTAATATCAGAGATAATGTTAGAATGACATACTTGAAGAAGAGTCCTTGTCAACCGTATGGACAGGACTTATTAAGAAGACCGATGAAAAATGATAATAGATGTGCCCAATCACTGAAGGATTGGAGAGTGGACAAGGGAGGAAAAGTGGAGATGGGGAATGATAATAGATCTTGGGATTCGCCCTCCTATCAAGTCATATGATTCCCATGTCACCAATACTTGTGCCCAATCATTAAAGGATGTAATTGATGCAATATTTTCTATACATGGGTTGAGCATATCTAGCCTGAGAGGTCAAGACTATAATGGAGCAAGTAATATGTCAGGTAAGTTCAATAATTTGAAAGCTTTAATTCTAAGAGAGCACCCACGTGCTATGTATGTCCATTGCTTTGCTCACTAACTTGAGTTCCCAGTTGTTTTTGTGGCACATAGGAATTGTATGCTTGATAATTTTTTCAACATGATTGTTGTTATTGTGAAGTTTTCAAAAGTCATGAAATTTATAAAAGTTTTATACAAAAATCGCATGCTTTCATTAACTCCATACAAAGTTATAAATGTTTTGGAATTACCCAAAAGTCCATCACTAAAAAAAGTCTATAAAAATCTTCAAAAATCTTGATTGAATACACTCATCTTAATATGCTTAGAGCATCTCTAAATTTGGAGAACCAAAATCATTCTCTATAATTAAATTTATTCAAAATATTTCAATTTTCAATACTCCATATTTTGATCCAACTAAATAGTATATATCATAGAGAATTGAGGAAAATAATATAATAATTTGAATGGAAGTTAGGGTCCATTTGATTGTAAAGATAGAATTGAATAAAAGTGAAAGCGGATTCTAGAGAATTGAATTGCATAGAAATTTTCTCCTGTGAATTGTAAATTATTGTGTTTGATTGGTATAATTTTTCACATGGAAAATGTCAAAATAAAAGTATTTTTTGGTGTTTCTTTGACTTTATTTTACATGAAAATTGTCAATTAAAGAAATAGATTTTACTGATATTGGGAATGAAATTTGTTTCCATTGCCAACAACAACAAAAAAAATAATCAAGAAAATCATCTATCTTTTGGTGGTCGTTTGGCTTTGATTTACATGAAAATTGCCAATTAAAGTGAAATATTTTTTTACATTAATTCTTAAAATTTGTTTCCATTGCCAACAAAAAATTCGAAAAAAAAAAACCGTAAACAGTAGGTTGGAAAACCAATTTGGTTTTCCTTTAAAACCAAGAAAATATCATTTCCCAAGACAAGCATGAAAATCGAATCCCATGGAAAATAAAACTTATCAAACACACAAAATTGGAAAAATGTGGAATTCGAACCAATCAAACAGGCCCTTAGTGAAAATAAAATATGAAGAAAAATAATAAACATACATTGAATATAGTAAACTTAAATGTTAAAGACAAATAGATTGTTGGGGTATTTAAAAATTTTACTTTTTAAATTTATATATATCATTGGAGTATTTAAAAAATTTTACACACTAAATTTATAGATAGTATCTAAATAGCAGTATATGCTCTTCAAGGTAGAAAGTGTCTTGGAGAACTAACTCTTGTTTGAGCTCCATTTTCTGAAAATTCATTTTTTAAAGTTTATTTCAAAATTATATATTCTCTCAATAAAATAATTTTATATGTAAACCTAAAAGTATTTCATGCTTTTTAATCACATATACTCTAGAAAATCACACTGTTCTAAAATACGCATATTGACGACGCTTAGGCATTACCAATGCGCAATTTACGACGAAAATTCCAATCCAAGTGGCTTGATTCCTTATTTACTAATCAATAGCAATCATTGATCGCTAATGAGCACCTAGGCCCAGTTATGCTAGCATAATTATCTTTTTTATTTTTTATTTTTTTTACAACTTTTCTAAGTTAAAACTTAAATGTTGATTTCTTCACTTTATCGGTTTTAAATTCAAAATAATCGCTTGAAGTATTGAACTAAAGAAATTTCTCAAAAATTCTTGTTCATTTACTATTTACATTTGGAACTTATCTTTTTGTTAAAAACTTTGAAAAATGTATAATTTTTTTTATAAATTTGTTTTAGATATTTGGCACGTATTATTTTTAATTATTAAACGATTTTTCAATTAATTAAAAATTAAAATAATATTAAAATAATAAACGAATTTTTATATTTTTTTAAGCCTTTGCCTTGCCTAAGTTCGCCTAACCCATAGATTTGCCGCCATGCGTCACCATTATTACGCCTTTTAGAACACTGAAAAATTATTGATACAAATTTTATTCTCACCAAAAAAAAAAAAATATATTAATTAATTAAAAAAATTAAAAAACCCTTTAATATAGATGTCAAACAAATTCTCAAGTTAGATCATTCTTTCGCCTATAAAATATAGATAAATTAAATTCGATCATACTACACTACCAAATTTGTAAGAGATCTGGTAGTGCAGCCCCTCTCACATTTTGGGAAGAGGGTGGGGTGTTTGGAGTGTATTTTTTAATCGTGGACCAACGAGGAGAGAAAATTTGGGAAAGGAGCTCCTCTTCCAGGCCTGTAAAAGGCCTGGAAGAGGAGCATTTTCCAATTAAGTCGACCTTTCAAGTATTCAATTTCATCCAACCTAGAGTCTGCAGTTTCTCTCTATACAGATTTGTCTCTCTCTCTCTCTCTCTTAGGTTTTACGAAATCAGTGACAAGGATGATTGTGCTTAAGAGTTTAGACGGTGAGATTTTCGAGGTCGAGGAAGCGGTGGCGCTAGAATTAGAGACGATAAAGCATATGTTTGGAGCCGACTGCGCTGATACTAGTATTCCTCTTCCAAACGTTACATCCAAGATCTTGGCGAAGGTGATTGAATACTGCAAGCGACATGTTGAGGCGGTGGCGGCAAAGTCCGCTGACGGAGTGTTGGTTGCAGCTGACAAGATGACCGACGAGGAGCTGAAGGCGTTTGATGCTGATTTCGTGAAAGTTGATAAGGGCACCCTGTTTGATCTTATCTTGGTGGCAACTCTTTTCTATTCTTGTCTCTCTAGATTGTTTGGCTATCTTACCTCGATTTGGCTGTTTTTTCCGATTTGCCCACCCTTTTTTCTTGTTCATCACTATGTTTATTGTTTCACATGAGCCTTTTTAATTCTACCATGTTGCCGTTTTACTTTAATCATTCATGGGTCTGTTTTGTTTGCTTTTATTTCTTCGATAACTTGTTTATTGCCTGTTTTAATGGTTTCTTATTCTAGATGCATTTATCATATGGATCTCTGTTCTGTTGTTAGTTTGTCTATATAAAGCAGTAGTTAAGGGTTATCCATTTCTTTCCCTTTTTTCTGGGTTGTAGATCAATACGGACGGCTTGTTTGCTTGAATAATGTTTGTAGTATTGGTGAAATTTTGGTATGAGGTGGGGCTTCATTTAATTATTATATATTCTTATTTTTATTTGAAGGCTTATGATATAAAGCCTTTGGGTAGAGTAACTGGAATGAAACTATTTTTGTTCTGTTAAAATTTTTATTTTACTGTGGATCGGGTGGTTTGAAGATAACAGCAATCTTCCTGCATCAAAAGTCAGAACTGGAGATGCATAATGTAACTTTCTTTGGGAAGGGTTGAAAACATGTTCTTCTTTTGTTCTTGTAATCTTGCTCACAAATTTTCATCTGTTTGTTTTTACATAGAAGATAATCTATTCATTTCTCTGTTGGCATTCTTGTGTTTTTAATGCTTTTTCTGTATGATTCACAGTTCTTTTCTCTAGCTACTACTAACTAGTGACATCACGTTTTCAGGCAGCAAACTATCTGAACATAAAGAGTCTGCTCGACCTCACATGTCAGACTGTGGCCGACATGATAAAAGGAAAGACTCCGGAGGAAATCCGCAAGATTTTCAATATTAAGGATGACTTCACCCCGGAGGAGGAAGAGGAAATTCGCAGGGAAAATGCTTGGGCGTTTGAGTGATATGCCTCTGCAAATTAAGTTTCTGTACCTAATAGAGTATGCTATAATATGGTAGGTTTTATTAAGAGTCGTCCAGTAAATTCTTGGTATCATGTTATGAAGAGATCCAACTCTTTGTTGAAATTTGTTTCCCAGTGTTAAACCTTTATGCTTCTATGACACTGGTACTTGGTGTTCTTTTTAAATGCTATATCTTTTATATCTTCATTATTTTCCCTTGATTATCGTTTAACCTAATTATGGAGTTTGATTGTTGAGAATATGTGATTGCAAACTCTTTGAATATGGCTGATGGGGTTGTTCGTTGCTTGGTTGAAAGTCAGGTTCTGTTTGTGTTAGCACATTTGGAGCTGGAATTGGATGTGCAGTTCAAAAATTCTCGAGGGCCTTAGATTTGCAGGCATTGAATATGTTGATCAGGTTTTTTTACAGACCTGCAAGGCTTATGCATTGGATAGCCACACTTGCAAGTCCAGATTCAAGGCATTGAATTGGGTAGCCACACTGGCAAGTGTAGATGTGACTGTTAAAAGTCCTAGGAATTTGAAAAAGTGATTGAAATAGGTGATGACTAGTGTGTGCATGTTTTTGGCAGTTGGAAATGCTGTTCATATGAGAATAGTTTGGCTTTTTCTTTGTTCGACATTTCAGTTCAACTCTGATTGAACTTTCTGGACTAGAGTTTGATCTTGGTTCACTCGCAGTTCGTTAATGCCTGGGCAGGATTTGGAAACAGCATTGAAAACTTTGTTATAATTTCTGTTTCAACCTTTTGGGGGTGATTGGTGAGTTGGGAAACCTGAAAAGAAGGGGAAAAGCCATTGTCGCAACACATTTGGACTGTCAAAGGCAAGTTAAAGGCATGGTTAGAATGCTGGATCGGACATGTCCGTGCCATCGAAGAACTCGGAGCTAGCTTTCATGAGCCAACAAAATATAGTTTGCAACTGTCAAAGGCAAGTTAAAGGCATGTTTAGGATGCTGGATGGGACAATAATGTTGTCTTTCTTCAATTATATCCGTGCATCGAAGAACTCGGAGCTAGCTTTGATGAGCCAACAAAATATAGTTTGCAAAATCCGACTTTTTAAGACGTATGTCAATTATACAGCAAAACATCACACAAGCGGATCATAGAGGTTTCGAGGGTGCTGACTGTTGACCTTGAAAATTGGTCATTCCACGTGGCCAACAGAGAGTTACTCCACGTATTCCTCACTGCGCACAATCAGTGAACGGTCAGACGCACATGGTCGGGACCAGCAGGGGTGGTGGCGGTCGTATACACTCCGACGGTCAAGTTTGGTTTAGGTGGTCGGAACAGTACTCGGGGGTTGTGCCAAATAATGATAAGGGGGAGGAGAAATATATAAGCTTGCTATGGAGTGCTATGTAGTAAGAGTTTCATTACCTTTGCCTCTTACCAAACTTTGGGTATTTATAGGTGGGATGAGCCGTTGGATGTGGGACACGTGTATACATGTGACGGTATGAGACGTCCGCTCATAGGCGTCAATCAGCAACGTCTGTAGAGTGGGCGGACAGCTTGTTTCTCCTGAGTTGAATTGACATAAAGTTGATAAGTCACATCAGCTAGCCTCATGGAGACGTCAAATCAATCTAAACCTTAGGTGCAGGAAGGATCTTGGCACAAATCTCTTTCTGAAATTGGCGGCGGATCTTCTAACCGGGGTCTACTTGGCCTCGACCTCGAGGGCGAGGTGCTTCGGTCAGGTCAGTAGTAGGGATCGCCTGTACTTTGCAGCGTGCTACTAGGTTGCAGACATTGCTGATATCACTTCAGAAACACTTCGGACGGGTCTTTATCAGGTCAGAATATATGATGGTGCGCGTTCCGAGGCGGATCAGATAGGGGCGTAACAGTGGTCCCCAAGTCCAGGTATGAATATTTATATCATGGGTGAACTTCCTTTCCTGACCGGATGTATATGTCTCGGTACTGGGGACCACGACTCGTGGGAGTTTGGGGGTTGATCTTTTGCAGTAATCGAGGTCATGATCCTATGCAGATGTGCCAAAGTTTCGTTACTGTGTAAGGGAAAAAATAACCGATGTGAGGTCGAAGCGCTGCAAGACGGGACGATTAGTAGGAAAAGAGGTTAACATGACGACCGAGGCGATGTCCGAGAGGGGGCTCGCGCTAGGTGTGTGTAGGCTATGCGAAGGTGAGCGAGGAACTTATCTGCCACCGTTGCGTTGACCCACAGGGCCGACGCGTTGAGAGATGACTAAAACTTTGTAAAGCATGGGAGAGAACGCATCGTTCGAGGCGATGACCCACAGGGGACTTCGCGTCAGGTGCGTCCAAACTTTGTAAAGTTGAATAAGGAGCTCATCTGTCATCGATGCGCTAACCCACAGGGCTGACGCGTTGGGAGATGGCTAAAACTTTGTAAAGCATGGGAGGTAACGTAGCGTCCAAGGTGATAACCCACAGGGGATTTCGCGTCAGGTGCGTCCAAACTTTGTAAAGTTGAATAAGGAGCTCATCTGCCACCGGTGCGCTGATCCACAGGGTCGAAGCGTTGGGAGATGGCTAAAGTTTTGTAAAGCATGGGAGATAACGCAGCGTCCAAGGCGATAACCCACAGGGGACTTCGCGTCATGTGCGTTCAAGCTTTGTAAAGTTGAGTGAGGAGCTCATCTACCACCGGTGCGTTGACCCATAGGCCGATGCGTTGGGAGATGGCTAAAACTTTGTAAAGTATGGGAGGGAACGCAGCGTCCGAGGCGATGACCCACAGGGACTTCGCGTCAGGTGCGTCCAAACTTTGTAAAGTTGAGTGAGGAGCTCGATTCGAGGCGATTCAAACGTCAAATGATTTGACAACTGTTGCGTGTTTCTAAAGTGACAGTTGTGTGCCATGCCCATTCTCCTAAAAGGCTGGTGCGGCTACTTATTATTATTGACGATTGGTTGTAACTGAGGTGACGCATTTTAAGCAAGCGTGAATGTCACAGCGACATCTTAGGCGTAGATCAAATCTGGCATTTCATTTCAACGGCCTAGATTGAAGATGCGATGAACGACTTAGATTGATCGCATTTGAATTCGATGGTGAAGATCGGATTTGTCTTTCTATAAAAGGAGGACTCTGAGGTTTTCTCAGGCTTTTTACCCTTGCGAAATAAACAATATATTTTGCTCTCAAGTCATTAGCGATTTCTGACGTTTTCTAAGCAATTCTGGTAAGAAAATTGAACTTTTGGCGACCTTACACCATTTCCGGCTAGGAAAACCTTCAAACTCGTAAGTTTCAGTACCTTTTAGGGCTTTTAAATATTGAAAAAAGGGCCTTGGACGGGAGTTTTGGTTCGGGGAGGAGGTTAGAACTAGTGAGGATGGACGAGCCCATTGTGGCGACCTCCTCAGAAATAGCCGAGGCAATAATAGGGAGAAAAATATATGGAAGCAACCGGATAGCCCAGCAGATACTTCTGTGCATTGCGGGGCATTGGACTACCCATCCAAATTAAGAGAGGCCGACCTGGAGAGACTTAGGATAGAGTATAGGATCCCTGATAGCATAGATTTGATCCTTCCCGAGCCGGAAGAGAGAGCCTGCTACCCTAAGCCGGGTTGTGTGGCCATTAGCGAGGCGATCCTTAGGGCCGGACATAGGCTGTCAGTTCACCCATTCTTTAGGATGGTGCTTAGATCCTATGGGCTAGCCCCGACGCAACTCAATACGAACTCCTGGAGCCAAATGGTGGGCTCCTGGATGTTGTGGAAAGAAGCGTCATTAGGGGTGGAGATGCCCCTCTCTGTCTTCCAGACCCTTTATATACCTAAGGTAACTATCGGGAGGGATAAGACCCGGGGATGGTATTGCCTTACTTCATGGGGTTTCCACACTCCATTCATGCTCGATCTGTCGAGCTCCATCAAAGAATGGAAGAGCTCGTGGTGTTGGGCCGCAGGGCGATGAGACACGATGGAGGGGATCCCCTGGCACCTCTTACAGTCCCGACGAAGTACTCAACACTTAGTGAGTATAGTAGTTGTTTTTCCTTATATTTCTCTTCGGTTCGAATTGTGCCTAACATTTACATTTCCTTTGTAGGTGCTCTTCCTCGGTGCGAACTGTCATCCGAGGACTTTGAAATCATATGTATCATTTATCAGCTGACTCAAAAGAAGAGGTCTTACCATAGGTTGATCCGAAAGAACATCCACTTCATTACTCACGATCTGATGGCATCCCAAGGTAATTGGACTGAAGTCTTTACCCTTTATTCTGAACTCTCAACACTTGTACTAATTCATCATTCGCTCTTTCCAGACAACTTTAATAAGATGATGTCGGTGCGCCCCGACTTTAAGACCATCCAGAAGATGATGGCAGAGGCACAGGCGTTGATGGCCTCCTCCTCTTACAAAAAGCAAATGGAGGATTTGGTGGAAGCCAGTAAGAGGCTTCAGCCTCCGACGGAGGAGGAGGTACCGGAGGACCTGGAGGCTGACCTTCAGAGGAAGGGCAAGAAGAGTGCCGCCCCTCCAAAACGTCCAACTGTAGCGAGGCCACCCCCTGCTCTGAGGCAAACCACAATTCTCACCGGGGTGGCTACTCCAGAGAAGAGGCCCGCCCCACCTGAGCCTGCCACTACCCCGGCCACAACACCCCTCGCTACCGCGCCAATTGATCAAGTGCCAGGGCAGCAGAAGAGGAAGAGTCCCTGTCCCTCTAAGGAGGTCGACTTTCTGGGCACAAACTTGGAGGAGCCCGTAAGGGAAGTGTTGGAGGCTCTTCCTCCAGAAACAGCTGCGGTGGCGGTCGTCTGTAGCAAATACTGGATTGAGGAGTGGAGGGACCACACCGCCTTCTGCACAGCTGAGGATTTGGTGGCTGTAAATAGCGCCGGCGTGGCTCGGGCCCTGAGTACAAGCATCCAACTTGAGGGCTTGATGAAGGATCTGAACTCCAAGTGGGAGGACCTCGCCAAGCGCCTTGAGGAGGCGATGCACTACGGGGATACCGTGCGAGTTGCCCAGACCAAGGCCACGCAGGTGGAGGAGGGGAAGAAGGAAGCTGAGGCCCAGCTAACTGCCGCCAAAGCAGAAGTGGAGCGACTGAAGAAGGAGTTGTACAAGGTGGAGTGCCAAGTGGCTGCTGTGACTCGGCGGCTTGATCACGCCAATGAGCACCACAAGGTCGATATCGAGGCTCTGGAGGCCTCCAACAAAGAGAAGGCGGAGCTGAGGCAGAAGGCAGAGGCTCAGTCAGAGGAGATTGCCTCTTTGAAAGAGAAGTTGAAGTCTGTAGGGGAGGTGGCAGCTCAGAACTTCATCGACCACTTTGAAGACCATCCCTTGTATGATGACTTTGCCAATTTTTGGGCCTCATGGAGTGCCCAAAGCTTATTGGGTCGAGTGAAGGAGGTGCACCCCACTTTGGACATCTCTTCATTGGAGGCAGAGTTCGGGAGGCCAACTGGAGGTCGACCTGATAGGCTTGCTGAGGAAGCTCCGGAGGCCCCAGAGGCTACCGATGTAGAAGTCCCTCCAGCAGAATAGGGTTATCTTTTGTAATGGCTTCGGCCTCCTTGTACTTAAATTTATTTAATGAAATGAACTTTTTGCTAAGTATTTGTGCTTCTGCTTTTTTTATCTTTTCGATCTGTTCATACTTGTATGAATGACAAACGTCAGACTAATTGCCTCGTAATAGTAACCAGTTAATAATTGCGGATCGGACCACTTAAGTTAATATAAGTTGAATCACTTAAGCGAATATGAAGCGACTCTTAATGCTAACCTGTTAACAATATGAGATCGGACCACGTAAGTCAATATGAAGCGGACCACTTAAGCAAACATGAAGAGCCCCTTAATAATTGAAGATCGGATCGCTTCCCATTGAAGGACTGAGGAATCTATTTACTAATTAATGTGGCTCAGAACCAAAGTTTCATTACTTGAGATAAATTACACCACCCTTTACCAAGGCGATTCCAGCACGTAGTTAGGGAATTTACAACTGAGATCAGATCAAAACAATCGATTCATTATACCATATTGAAATCGGATCGGAACAAAGGCTTATCATTGATAGTACTTCCTCAAGTGTTCGATGTTCCACTGATGAGGCAAGGCCTTTCCTGCCATGTCTTCAATTTCGAAAGTACCAAATCGGGATTCCCTGCGGATGCGGTAAGGGCCTTCCTAGTTCGGGCAAAACACTCCTGACCCAATTGGCTTGGAGGATTGGAAGACTCTTCTGAGGATAAGGTCGCCCAGGCGAAGAGTTCTGTTTCTAACTTTGGAGTTGTAATAGCGGGTCATTTTTCGATAATACTTTGCCAAGTTCACTTGGGAGGCATCACTCCTTTCCTCAAGGAGGTGTAGTTCGCTTATTTGAGCATCATCATTGCTGATCTCATTGAAGTGTATCCGTCGACGTAATGGGACCCCGACTTCGACCGGACTTATGGATTCGACTCCGTAGGTCATGGAAAATGGTGTTTCACCTGTTGCAGTCCGGCAAGAAGTTCTGATAGCCCAGAGGACGTGGGGGAGTTCGTCAACCCTGGCCCCCTTTGAGGTATCAAGCTTCATTTTCAGGGTGTGCTTGATAGTCTTGTTCACTGCTTCAACTTGCCCATTTGCTTGGGGTTGATGAGGTGTCGAGAAGTCCTTCTTTATGCCCAGTTCGTCGCATAAGTCTCGCATCTTCTTGTTATCGAACTGCCTTCCATTATCAGACACTAAGGAGTGGGGAATGCCGAATCTACAAATGATGTTCTTCCAGACGAATTTGGTAGTATTCGCCTCGGTAATCCTGGCAAGGGGTTCAGCCTCGACCCACTTAGTGAAGTAGTTAATGGCAACAATGGCGAAAGTTGCACTTCCTCTTCCTTTTGGGAGTGGACCAAAGAAGTCAATGCTCCACTTGGCAAACGGCCAAGGGCTGGTTACTACGGAGAGGCTCTGAGTATGTTGTCTTTGTTGGTTCGAGAAGCGCTGGCACTTATCACATTTCTGGACAAATTGGCAAGCATCCCTTTTCAGGGTCGGCCAGAAGTAGTCTTAACGGAGAACCTTGTGTGCCAGAGCCGTTCCTCCGGAGTGATTTCCACAGATTCCCTCATGACTTTCCCTGAGTATGTATGTGGCCTCTTCGCCTCCTACGCATCGAAGAAGCGGCGAGGTGAAGCCTCTCTTGTAAAGGGTATCTTCTTGCAGGACGAAGTGTGCTGCCCTTCTTCTTAACTTCCTCATCTCGCTTCTAGAAGCAGACAGTGTTTGATCCTTCAGGTAGGCGATGATAGGCTGCATCCATAATGGGGTGCCTTCTATCCATAGTATCTCTTCACTCCCGGAGGTGGAGGGCTTTGATAAGTGCTCAATAGGGACGGCCTTTAGCAGTTCTGAATTTATGCTGCTGGCCAATTTTGAAAGGGCGTCTGCATGTGTATTCTCTAAACGGGGGACTTGAGTCAGTTCGAACCTTTCAAAATGAGGAACTATGTCCAGAACCAACTTCAAGTACGCAATCATGCTACCATCTTTGGCTGCGAAGTTCCCATTGACCTGATTTACTATAAGTTGAGAATCACTGCTCGCCAGGAGCCTTTTGACCCACATCTCCTTAGCAAGTCTAAGACCTGCCAGAAGGGCCTCGTATTCAGCAGCTTTGTTCGAGGCTTTGAAGCCAAACCTCACTGCATAATTTAGCTTGTGGCCTTCTGGGCTTTGCAACACGATTCCTGCCCCTGTGCCAGTCTTTTCCGAGGACCCATCTACGAACAGTTTCCATATGGGGGGCTCGGCTGGTTCCATTATCGTCTCCATTTCTGGGGCTCTGGCAAACTCAACCATAAAATCAGCAAGGGCCTAACCCTTGATGGCGTGTCGAGATTGGAATGTTAGATCGAACTCACTGAGCTCGATTGCCCATTTTAGCAGGCGTCCTGATGCTTTTGTTTTCTGCATCACCTGCTTTAGTGGAAGTTGGTGAGAACTTGTATTGAGTGGGCCTGGAAGTATGACCTCAGTTTTCTTGAGGCTGTGATAAGGGCGAGTGCCAATTTCTCCATGTCTGGGTAGCGTGTTTCAGCTGGAAGAAGTGCTTTGCTGATATAGTACACTGGCAATTGGCACTCACTTTCTTCTTTGATTAGGACGGCGCTGACCGCCACTTTCGAAACCACAAGTAAGCAGTAGAGACTCATTCGGTTGAGGTTTCGACAAGAGGGGCGTCTCCCCAAGGTACTTTTTCAGAGCCTCGAAGGCTTCTTCACACTCTGAAGTCCATTGGAATTTCTTTCTTTGTTTCAGCATATTGAAGAAAGGCAAGCTTTTATCTGTGGCTCTGGAGATGAAGCGATTGAGTGCGGCCATCCGACCACTGAGACTTTGGACCTCCTTAGATTTCTGAGGTGACCTCATCTCTAGCAAGGCCATTACTTTTACTGGATTCGCCTCAATTCCTCTCTAATTGACAATATACCCCAAGAACTGGCCCGATGCCACTCCAAAGGTGCACTTGAGGGGATTCAATTTCATATTATACTTTCTAAGTATCTGAAAAGTTTGGTCGAGGTGACTCACGTGTTCGGCTGCCTGGAGGCTTTTGACCAGCATGTCGTTAACGTAGACCTCCATGGTTTTGCCAATGAGTTCGGCAAACATCATATTGACCAACCTCTAATATATAGCTCTAGCATTCTTCAATCCGAAGTGCATGACTTTGTAGCAATACAGACCCCTGTCCGTAATGAACGATGTAGCTTCCTCATCAGGTCGGAACATGGGTATCTGGTTATACCCTGAGTATGCATCCATGAAACTCAGTAGTTCATGTCCAGCAGTAGAATCCACAAGTTGATCTATTCTTGGAAGTGGGAAGTTGTCTTTGGGGCACGCCTTATTTAAGTTCGTGAAGTCCATGCATACCCTCCACTTTTCGCTGGGCTTTTTCACAAGGACCGGGTTGGATATCCACCTTGGGTAGATGGCCTCTCTTATCAAACCACTGTGGCTAAGTTTGTTTACTTCGTCTTTCAGTGCCTCGTACCTTTCCGGATTGTGGGCACGCCTCTTCTGTCTATGGAGGGCATATGAGGGATTGATATTAAGGTGATGACAACTGATCCTAGGATTTATTCCCACCATATCTTCATGTTTCTATGCGAAGACATCCAAGTTCCCTTTCAGGAAGCTTATCATCTCTGCTTTTGCTTCAGGGGACAATGACCTTTCTATACGCAAGGCCTGACTGGGGTCTTCTGGGTTGGCGGGGAAAGTCTCCAATTCTTCCATTGGGGTCGCATTTGGTTCAGAGTCAATTATTCGGGGATCTAACTCATCTAGAAGATGTCCTTGTTTAGGGACCTCTTCCATGTCGACGTCTCCCTCTTGTTCAGAGGTATGTCCTTGTTTAGGGGCGTTGAGCATTTCCACGTCCGTACTGATTTCAGCGGGTACCTCAGTTAGGATTACATTAACAGTTCGGGCCTCGGACTTTTGCAGCGAGCTTAAGTAGCATGCCCTGGAGCCCATCTGATCGCCTCGGACCGTAGCAATCCTATGTTTGGTTGGAAATTTCATGCACAAATAGTGGATGGACGTGATAGCCCAAAGATCTTTCAAAACGGGTCTGCCCAATGCTCCATGATAAGCCGATCTGTGATCTATCACCAAAAATTTCATGAAGTGTTGGGCCACTAAGGGTGCCGAACCCATCTCGATAGGCAGAGTGATCCACCCTCGTGGGATGATGCTGTCCCCGGTGAATCTAAATAGTGGGTCTGTCATGGCGATCAACTCATGTTCAATTTGCATTTTGTCAAAAGTGGAGCCGAACAATATGTTCACGGAACTGCCATTGTCAACGAGTATGCGTTTTAACCCGTTTCTAGCACTACGGCTCTTACAACCAATGAATGGGGGTGGTGAACCCCATTTGAGTCTTCCTCGGAGAAGGTGATTGGGGCCATCCTATCTGCTGCGTACGACTCGTTGACAATGTAAGTGATCATTGATGGGTCCTTTGCTTCCCTTGTGTAATTTTTCTGGGCATTCCTGGTATTGCCACCGATTGGGGTCCCCCAATAATAGTGTCGATCTCCCGACCTGGCTCCCAGAAAATTGGGCTTGGTTTTCTTGTCTTGATTGACACCACCGGTCCCTTGATTCTCTTCTCTAAGGCGATTGTTCCCTGTGCCCTCTATCCCCCCCTCCCCGGGGAGGCGGATTTGCGAGGATATTCGTTCCTGCTGGAAGGGTGTGAGTTGCTTCAATCAAGGCGTCGATTGGCGTCTCGGCACTCACTAGTGTCATGTCCATAGAGTTGATGGAACATACAAAACTTTGCCCCTTCCAAGGGTCTGTTTGACATCTTCTTCTTCTTGTTATCAGCTCTTCTAGATGGTCCCGCTTCGGCAGGGGTATTCTCATATGCCGACACCGGTACTGCATTCAATGTGGTGGAAGCCAGGGCCTGTCCGGATGTGGGAGCTATTGTATGACCTGCTTGGGTCCATTGCTGAGTAACAAGGTGTGCTGCGGGTTCCCAACCTACCTGCCTCTAAATCGGAGGGAGTCCTTGTGCGGTACGATTGCGATGATCAATCATTTCTTCACTAACAATTTCCATTCTCATCATTTTCACCAGCTCGTCATATGTGGAGGGATTCTTGCTGCGCACGTCTCTCCAGAACAAAGTGTTCATGTTGAGCCAACCTTTCAGGGCTGAAAGGGTTTTTCTGTCAGTGACCTGTTCACAGTAGGTGATTTCGTCTGTAAACCTGGCGAGATAGCTTTTCAGCGTCTCCCCAGGGGCCTGCCTCATATCTTGTAGGCGTTGCACTTGTGCCTTTCCTTCCCTGCGTGAGAGGTACTGGTTCAAAAATGCTTTCTTCAAATCCGACCAACTTCTGATGCTTAGGGAAGGAAGCCTGATGTACCATACTTTGGCGGCCCCGCCTAGCGTTAAATGGAAGGCTCTGCATTTCAAAGCAGGCGAGGCTCCCCTAAGGCTCATCTGTGTCATGTACTTGGTGAGGTGCTTCTCCGGGTCCCTCTTTCCTTCATACTTGGAGATCTTAGGGGGCATGAAATTTGCTGGCATTGGGAAGCTTTGGATCTCCCTTGAGAAAGGGAGGTTATCATCATCATCGTCGATTCCATAAGATCGATAGGGCCCATCTGAACGTTCATCATCTTGAATGTTCTGGGGAGGTGGAGGTGCTTCTCCTCGACTTCCCCAGTCGACTAGGTTTCTCCTGTCTCTCCTATTTCTAGGAGGAGGGGGAGCATGTTAGTGTTCGTGATCTGGACGAACTGATCCTCTTACTGGACGGACCCTATTGCTAGGACTCTCCCCTATCCGGTGGAAGACGCTTACCGACCTCTGGTCCTCATGTTCTTGAGGGAAATTGTCTCCCAAGTGTGGTTCTGATGGCTGGTTCCCTTGCACATAAGATGTGGCTTCGACGTTTATCTCCCTTTCGAGGGGACGTTTTGTGTGCCGACTCATGTGGCCTCGGGAGTGAGATACAGGACCTTCTCACACCGGGTAAGATCCTTGGGGCATTTGATAGCCCTGATGACCCTAGGCTTGCATGAGGAGTTCATGCATTGCCATATTCTGAGCTGCGATGTCTCTCATACCCGCAGCTATTTAAGCCATTCCTTCAGTGAGTATGGCTATTCTTCCACCTCGGCGACGTCGGTGATGTGGTCTCTGATGAGTAACATTGTTATGGAGTACCTCTTCTTCAGAGGCCTCTCTCATGGGGTTGTCGTCTTCATGGCTATAACTCATCCTACCTCCTTTTCCAAGGGTGGTGAGAACTTGGATTTTAACTCGACTTTGTACTTTTTCAAGAACTTCCCCTTTTCAGAGTTAGTTGCTAGTTTTCCGGTAACTTTTCCGATGGAGAATGCAGAACTTCGAACGGGAAGTTTTTTCCACAGACGGCGCCAATCTGTTGACCTCAAAAATTGGTCCTTCCACGTGGCCAACTGAGAGCTACTCCACGTATTCCTCCCTGCGCACAATCAGCGAGCGGTCAAACGCACACGATCGAGACCAGCAGGGGTAGTGGCGGCCGTATACACTCCGACGGTCAAGTCAGGTTTAGGTGGTCGGAACAGTACCCAGAGGTTGTGCCAAATAATGATAAGGGGGAGGAGAAATATATAAGCTTGCTAGGGAGTGCTATGTAGTAAGAGTTTCATTACTTTGCCTCTTGCCAAACCTTGGGTATTTAAAGGTGGGATGAGCCGTTGGATGTTAGACACGTGTATACATCTGACGGTATTAGGCTTCCACTCATAGGCGTCAATCAGCCGTGTTTGTAGAGTGGGTGGACAGCTTGTTTCTCCCGAGTTGAATTGACATAAAGTTGATAAGTCACATCGACTAGCCTCATGGAGACGTCAAATCAATTTAAACCTTAGGTGCAGGAAGGATCTTGGCACAAATCTTTTTCTGAAATTGGCGACGTACCTTCTAGCCAGGGTCCACTTGGCCTCGGCCTCGGGGGCGAGGTGCTTCGGTCAGGTCAATAGTAGGGATCGCCTTTATTTCGCAGCGTGCTACTAGGTTGCAAACATTGCTGATATCACTTCGGAAACACTTCGGACGAGTCTTTATCAGGTCGGAATATATGATGGTGCGCGTTTCGAGGCGGATCAGATAGGGGTGTAACACTGACATTGGAGAGGGATCAGTGGATGTATGGGGACGGAGAGGAGGATTTCAGTGTACGAAGAGAAGTCAAGATCCTATTTATGGAGAATCATTCGGCACAATTACAAATGCAATTGGCTGTGGCTCGGGCTGAGAAGATACGACAAGATCCTCTTAGTTTGCAGCCTCAGATGGTAGAACATGAAAATTGCCTTGTTTTTGCTAATAATAACTTGGATTAGAACCTCAAGTTTGCCGCTGATACCTCCAAGGATGAGTTCGTCTCGAAGAGAGATGAGTGGTGGGAAATGGAAAGAATTAGTTAGGTCGAGTATGGTGTTTTTTGCTGCTACCTTTTCTTTCTTGTTTCTAGTTATAGAATAGCACGTGGGCTTGTTCTTAGTGTTTCTCGTTTGATCTCTACTTTGAATTATGGTGGATCCTTGATGGACATTAATAAAGTCTATAATTGCACGAAAATAAAAAAAATTAGATAATACGCAGTTGTGACTTATGATTAAGCAATCCTATTTGTAATAGTCAATAGGATTTAACATGGAGTGTAAGTTACAATTTCAATAAATAATATACACTATTATATAAGTAGCACAAGCTTGCAATTAAAAATAATTACAATTTGAAAAAAGAAAAAGAAAAAAGATACAATATTAAGAATAACATGGTGTACGTATCAATATAGTAATTTATTGAATGCAGTCCTTGTCAAAAATATACATAATCGTAAGTTGCCAAAATAAGTTAGGACCTTCATTCTTTAGACCCCAAAATTAGGTCAGGTTGGCTCAGAGGCAAGGATTGGATCCGTGTGTTTCCATCCCTGGGAAACCTAACCTGATTCAAATATAGTTTTGCTAGACGGATAGGGCCACATCGGCCTGTGTGCCCAGGGCATCGATTTAGCGCCACATCGCCCCCCATTCAAAAGGGTCGCGATCAAATTTTTTTATTCAAATATATAGGGAAAATTAGGCTAGGCCCTGAATTTAAACTTTTGTTTTGAAAAATCCTGTATTCGTCATTTTTATTTTTTTTTATGACTTATCCTATTTTTTAAGACTTAATTAGCTTAATATTAATGTTCTAAAAAGCGTAATATGTGGCGGTGCATGGATGTCAAGCTACGGATTAGACGAATTTAGACAAGGCATAAGTTTAAAAAAGCATAAAAAAGATGTTTTCTTATTTTAATATTATTTTAATTTTCACCAATCGAAAAATCATTTAAATTAAAAATAATAACTATTAAACATCTAAAACGGATTTATAGCACCTTTATATATATTTTAAAATTTCTAACAAAAAGATAAGTTTCAAACGTAAATACTAAATAGTAAATAAATATAAATTTTTAGGAATTCTCCTTTGTTCAAGGCTTCAAATGGCTGTTTTGAGCTTAGGACAGACGAAGTGAAGAATCGGCCATTAAATTTTAAATTAAAAGAATTGTAGAAAAATTTAATGCGTGCATAATCACACCTAAGCATGTATTAATAGTCATCGATTCCCATTGACCATTAAATAAAGCTTGAAGTGGCTTGACGTTTTCGCCATACATCGGGCTTAGATGTAGCCTTGATGCTATCTAAACGCGCTTTTTAGAACACTATTTAATATACACAAAATTTTAATAATTAACTATAACATTTACCTTTCACCAAAATGGGAATAAATTCCTAAATTAACGCATTTAGTCCGTACCATAACAACTTCTAACAAACATACTACGCAATTGAAACTATAATCATATCACCGAACATTATTTTAATTGCAATCTGAGTAGATGTAAATGTATTAAAACATCATAATTGTCTGGTTAAATTGAATGTTTGCAGTTGTGTCCATCCTAGTCACGTAACCCGTATATTTAAAACATCATTTCCATTACGATCAGGGACGGATCTAGGATTGAATCCAAAATCGAGTTGCAAAATTTGAAATCGGGCTGCTACGCGGGAAACAAATTTACACATAAAAAAAATGAAAAATACGTTAAAAAAATGTTCTTGGGCCTGAGTGAGAGGGACTACAACCCCCCTCCCCCCAAAAAAATCCATCTCTGATTACGATGTCAATTGAACAACCAGTAAAGTGAACTTAA